ACTCGGGAGACTGAGGCAGGAGAATGGCGTAAACCCGGGAGGCGGAGCTTGCAGTGAGCTGAGATCTGGCCACTGCACTCCAGCCTGGGCGACAGAGCCGACTCCGTCTCAGGAAAAAAAAAAAAAAAAGATGGTGGCTGGGCTGCACTTTTATCTGGAGACTCAACTGGTGAAGAATCCACTTCCAAGCTCACTCAGGTTGATGGCAGAATTCATTTCCTTGAAACCCTGGGACTGAGGGCCGTAACTTCTTTCTGAACGTCATTACCCTCAGCCCCTAGAGGCTGTGCTAAGCTCCTTGCCAAGGGAGCCTCATAACATGGACGTTTACTTCTTTGAAATCAGCTGGGACAATCCCTATAGCAAGTTGGCTAGCAGGATGAAGACTTATATAACAATATAATTATGGAAATACCATCCCATCACCTTTGCAATAGGCTACTGGTTAGAAGCAAATCACAAGTGCTACCCACACTCAAAGGGAAGGGTTACTGGGACCGCCTTAGAATTTGTCTGCCTTAGTTACAGTTCTGCTTATTTAAATTTGTAATTTTGAAAATACAAATTCAATGTATTTAATTCTCTCCCAGATTAAAAAGCCCTATCTATACCCCCTAAAACCCTTCAGCTGCAGGTTAATTCTTCTCCTCTCCTTTATTTTCCTCACTGCCATTCAACCCATTGAAATCACTCTCTCTAAGGTTATTGCATTGACCTCATCACCAAAATCAATGGACTTTTAAAAATCCTTGTTTTAATAATAGCTCTCTCCATTTCTTAAATATTGCCTACCCATAGACTTTCCTCCATGTACACTATGTACTATTTACATGATCTCATCCACCACTTCGGGTTCATTTAATCTTTTATTCAGCAAGTGCTGATTGGGTGTGTGCTGTGTACGCTCTGGAGACACCAGACATTAACCAAGAGCCCCGTTTTCACAGAGCTCACATTTGCCATCTACCACCATCCTGACAGTTTTCAAATCACTATCTTCCACCCAGATCTCTTGTACTGAGACAGCCTCAGCATCTACTTCCTTGTCTCACCAAAAAGGAATTTACATCTTCTCTTCCAACTCAAGCCATTTCCCCTCCTGTGTTCCTGAGGTCAATTGATGCCCGTATAGACTTTGGGCCACCCAAGACTGAACCCAAGCATCATTCTTGGTTTCCACCCTCTCTAAGTCACACAGAATCATCCTCCACTGATTCTCCTTGCTCTGGTTTCTCAACTGAGTCCACTGTCCTCATCCTCCTCCTTTGAACCACGCCACCCCTCACCTGCATCCGGCGTCAGCCTCCTGCCACGTCCCCAGCTCTGAGCCTGCCCCATGCATCTCTTGACTAGATGACAGCCTGAGGGATTTTCCTAAAGTACAAAGTCATCATGTTACTGTTCTGCCTAAACTTATTCAGGCTCTCCTTTACCCTTGGGCTAAAGTCCAAATGCTTTAGCAACGCTTACAAAGCCCTGGAGATGAGCAGCTCACCTCTCCCGCCCCATCCCTCCTCACCCTGCTCTTACACTTGATCCAGAGACATCCGGAGCCTCTGTGAGCTCCATCTGCCTGGAAGGCTGCTCTCTGCCTGCTTCCCACCCTCCTATTTGTCCTGTTTAGCTTCCAACCCCACTTCAGACCTTCATTTAGATACCACTTCCTCCAAGAAGCCTTATCTGGCCTCATCTCCCCAACCCCTTCTAGATTAGGGGACCTCCTCCAGGCTCTCACCACACCCACATCTCAGTATCACATCACTCACCCATCCACAGCACAGTTACGTGTCTCCCTGTTCATCTTATTCAATGGACTTCATATTCATTCCCTAGTGCTGTTGTAACAAATTACCATGAACTTAGTGGCTTAACGTAACACTGACTCATGATTAGACAGTTCTGAGGTCAGAGGTCCTAAAATCCAGGTGTCAGCAGGGCTGAGTTCCTTCTGGAGGCTCCAGGGAGATCCTATTTCCTTGCCTTTTCCAGCTTCTAGAGGCCACCTGCCTTGCTTGGCTTGGGACCTTGGCCTCCACCTGCCAAGCTCTCCCACTAACTCTGACCCTCTTGCTTCCCACTTGGGAATACATTGGGTGTACTGAGTAATCTCTCCCTACCAACAACTTTGACTTAATCACATCTGCAAAGCCCTTTTCACTGCATAAGGTAACATATTCACAGATTCTAGGGATGTGGACATTGTTGAGGTGCCGTTGTTCTGACTACCACAAATCCAAGCTCCTCGAGGCCAGGGGCAGCCTTTTGCCCACTCCTGAATCCCCAGCATGTCGCACAGTGCCTGGCCCGAGTAAGTGCTCATTAGCTGTTCTATCAATTAATGGGTCAGTTAATGAACAAGGGTATCGGGGCTGTCTTCTTAAACTCAGCAAAAAAAGCACTGGTCCTGGGAAAACACTCACCCCATGTCTGAGAAGCTAAAGTCGTGAGTGATGAATGGGTGCAAGGCAACCAATGACAGTGATTATTGGCCTCACGTGTCTCAACATTACAGTGGGCAGGTGAGTGCCTTCAGAAGAAACGGGTCTTTCTCAAAGCTACCAGCTGCTGCTCAGCCTGGCCCCTCACCCTCAGGGGAAGTCTGCATAGTCCAGCAGGTCCGAGAGGGGTGAGTGGTCTCTCGCCTGATTGTGTGTGTGACATTGAAGTCTATACCACGTGGAACATGCATGACAGCTGAGCACGAGCGACCCTGAAAGCACACAGCAACTAAAATAATTAGGCAGGGCCACTGACACATGTGAAGCACTGCTTTTAAGCATTTAACATATTCTAACTCATTTAACCCTCCAGTAAGTTTATGAGTATTATTATGCCCATTTTACAGAGGGGAAAACTGAGCTCCACTGAGGTCAAATAACTTGCCCAAGGTCACACAACTATTAAGTGGCAGAATCAAGATTGGAACTCAGGCATCCCAGATGCAGAGTCAGCTCTGAAGTGCTATGCTGTGCTCAGCAAGTCCAAGTCAGTAAGTCCCAGCATCAGGGACGATCTGCATAGCCACTTGGCTCTGCCTCACACTTTCCTGTCCACCCTCAGCATAGCAATGTGGAGAGAGAAGCCAGATGGAAAAGGAAGAGCCCAAGGATCTGGGGGGTCACTGAATCTGGGGGTTGTTGGATCTGGGGGTCACTGGATCGGGGAGTTGTGGGATCTAGGGGTTGCTGGATCTGAGGGTCACTGGATCTGGGGGTCGCTGGATCTGGGGGTCACTGGATCTGGGGGTCATGGGATCTGGGGGTCACTGGATATGGGTGTCACAGGATATGCTGGTCACTGGATCTGGGGGTCACTGGATCTGGGGGTCACTGGATCTGGGAGTAACTGGATCTGGGGGTTGTGGGATCTGGGGTCACGAGATCTGGGGGTCTCTGGATCTGGGGCTCACTGGAGCCCACTCCACACCTCCTCCACCAGAACAGGCTCATGGGAGACCTGCACACTTCCCAGAGCGGCACTGTGCTCACGGAAAGATCAGGGCACAAGATGTGGCAACTGGTTCTGCCCGATGCGATTTGTGAGCCATGCCTGGATCCTGGATCCTGATTGGAACAAATCAAAAGTAACAAGACATTTGTGAGATGATCAGAAATTGGAGCTCTGACTAGTGATTTGATACTCAGTAAGTACAAAAACTAGATAAGAACAGGTTTTTCTGACTCCTACGGTTAAACTTGTGCCCCACAACAGAGGTCCCCAGCCCCCAGGCCATGGACCTATACCAGTCTGTGGCTTGTTAGGAACCGGGCCTGACAGCAGAAGGTGAGGGGCAGCAGGCGAGCATTACCTGCCGCCTGAGCTCCGCCTCCTGTCAGATCAGCCGCAGCAGTAGATTCTCATAGCGGAGCGGACCCTATTGTGAATTGCACATGTGAGGGATCTAGGCGGTGCACTCATGAGAATCGAATGCCTGAGATCTGAGGTGAACTAATTTCATCCCAAAACCATCCCCCACCCCCATCCCGGCCCATGGACAAATTGTCTTGCACGAAACGGGTCCTTGGTGCCAGAAAGGTTGGGGGTCACTGCTCTACAAAAGTAGTTTCTTTTTTTCCTTTTTGAGACAGGGTCACACAGCATCACCCAGACTGAGGCACAGTGGTGTGACCACAGCTCACTGGACTCAAGAGATGCTCCCACCTCAGCCTCCCAAGCAGCTGGGACTATAGATATGGACCAAGACACCTGGCTCATTTTCGAATTTTTTGATTTTTGTAGAGATGAGGTCTCGCTATGTTGCCCAGGCTGGTCTTGAGCTCCTGGGCTCAAGTGATCCTGCCACTTTGGTCTCCCAAAGAGCTGGGATTGCAGGCATGAGCCACAGCCCAGCCCTTTAAAAGACTAGTTTTCAAATGTTCAGCAGGGCTCTGTGGGGCTGCAGGGTTAAACTCTGAGCGTAAATAGGCCTCGGTGAGTACCAGGACTCAGTTTTAATTTTTTTGTTCTGATCATGTGGTCACAGTTTTTTTTAAGGAGTCCGTATCTTTTAGAGATAAATATGAAAATGCATATAAATAAAACAGGAAGATGTCTGAGTTTTGCTTACTTTTGGGGGAGAATAAGATTGGCCAAGAGCTGCTGATGGTGGCTCTAGATTGGGGACGGGCACCGGGGGTCACGGGACCATTCTCTCTACTTTTGTGAGTGCTTGAAATTTTCCAAAATTAAAAGAATTCTTTCAAAAGGTTCAACTTCTTACTCTACTCCCAGAATCTAAGGAGATTACAACCACCTTCACTCCATCCGTCCTGCTCTGAAAACAGATGAAATTATCAACATTTCCCTTGCCAAAGGATATTTGCAACTGTCGAGGTGAGACATAAAGAACGGCACTAAGATTTTCACCTGCCGGGGCTTGGGGGAGGAGGAAAGACTTTGACAGCTTCCGTGCAACTGGGGCATGAAGCCGGGGGTGGGTCCAGGATGGAGAAGATCCAAAGTCTAACGTTGTAAAGATGTGCTGATTTCCCAGCGTTGTCTCTGGGGAGCTCCGGCAGCGCCAGAGGGCAAAGCACAGCTGAAAGCTCAGAGCTGCGGTCCCAGGCCCTGGGGTGAGTGGTCCCCCCATGGCAGGAACAGAGGGGAGTGATTTTGTGTCTCCATGTGGAGTTGGGGAGTTGCTCAGGTGTACAGACCTGGTCCCACTTTAAAGCCAGGGGACCGGCCTCTTATACCCTTAGCCAGTCAGTTGTTGGCTGTAAGGTTGGGGCGGTGTAATTTAAACTCCCAGAAGAGAGCGGATGTGAGCCTTTAGCAACAAACAATTATAGCAGCTGGAGAATGGGTGGTCCTCCCAGCAGAGTGGATCTAGGAAGTAGCGGACACCATCGGCCTCTCCCCCGGGGAGCCCCATCCTGCTGCCAGTCACTGACCCTTAGAGCTAGAGGAGCCCCAGACACTTCTCTTGCAGTCTGGAAAGGCATACACACAGAGGGACTAGTTCAAGAAAACAGAGGCCCAGAGAGGAGAAGGGACTTATCGAGGGCCACAAAGGGCCAGGACTAGAATCCAGATTCTTGACCCCCTCCTTGGACGGAGGCCTCCGTTTCCTGCAGGTCTTCCAGCTGCTTGGGGGTGAACTCTGTTTACACCAGGCACACTGTCTGGAAGCACCAGGAGGAGGCTGGTTCAGTACGGTCATAGGTGGTTTTCTAACTGGCATTCACTGAAATACTGATCCTCGAAGGGACCCCACTCCCCAACACCAGCCTGCCTGTCACTCAGCACCTCTCAGTTCCTGCCTTTCTGTCCTTAACATGCATGCACACACATGCACGCGCACACACACGCACGCACACACACACACACATATACACACCCTGAGAAGCTCTCTCTGTCCTCTAGGGCTCCACTGCACAGTCTGATGAGGGTCACATTATTCGTGCCACGTTTTCTCTGCCTGCTCACCTCCCATGGACACATCTTACTCACTCCTGCCTCGGTCCCTGCGGCGTCCGGTGTAGAAACGCCATGAACAAATCCATGAATGACAGTGCTGGATCTCGGATCACCAGCTCAACACACTCAGTGCCTTTCTTCCCTCATGACCCCCTGCCCCCACCCCAGGGCCTCAGAGCTCTCATGGCTCCCTCCCTCTGTAAGCAGGATGGGGATGGAGGCAATAAACTCACCACCCCAGATGACAGGGACGGGGTGTATCGTGTCTTAACCGAGAACCCGACGAGGACAAGGTGGAGGCTTGCTGGTGGGATTCTAGACACACAACAGGCCAGTGGTGACCGTGGCTGACATTGATTGCTATATGCCAGGCCCTGTCTGTTGCAAGCATTGTTTCAGCTACCCTCTACCACCTACCCCGCAGGGACAGGCAGTGGCCCCCCCCATGAGAAGGTGAGGGAAGACTCAGATGCTGAGATGTAAACAATCTGCCCACGGTCAAAGCTCCAGGGACCAGAGCCAGGACTTTGCACAGGGCACCCGTTCTGGCCGACAACATCCAGGGCTCATGGCCAGGCCCACTCTGTTCCCTGCTGGGGGCTTCTGGAGGGTCCTACCCAGCTCTGTCCCTGTCCTACCTCCCCTCCCAGAACTGAAGGAACAACGAGAATACGTACGGGACCAAGGCATCGCGTGGCCCCGTGCAGAGCATGGTCCTGAGCTGGCTGAGGGCGCTGGGGGGGCAGGGCAAGGTTAAAAAAGTCCCTCCATGCCCCCAAGCAGCCTGCTGCCTGCCCCCGTCTGTCAGCACACTGTCACCTCCTAGCAGCCCTGCACAGGTCCTGGAGGTGGGCCAGGACAGCAGGGAATAAGTGTTCTAAGGAATCAGAGTTCATGCTTTGTCTTGAAAAAGCGGACAAGAGAGTCAGAACAAACTTTTCCCCACGATGACTAAGGTCTGCCCTCTGCAACTCCTTCCTCTCCTGGTTGTATAAAATTCCTTGTAGCAGCTCCCTATTCCGTGAGACAAGCATTACATTAAAGTTGGAAGAGACCCTAGAGACCATCACTTAATTTCCATTCCCACTGTGATATGCACACAAGCAAATCACAAGCGGAGAAAAGGCCAAAAACCAGAGCCCAGGACCAGAAATTCAAACCTTCAAGGCCCCTTTGCCCAAAAGCAGACCCCATAGATACCAATTGCATAGAACCACCAGACTATGAGAAAAAAGATTCTATGGCCAGCCGAGCGCAGTGGCTCACGCCTGTAATCCCAGCACTTTGGGAGGCCGAGACAGGCAGATCACCTGCAGTCGGGAGTTTGAGACCAGCCTGACCAACGTGGAGAAACCCCATCTCTATTAAAAATACAAAATTAGCTGGATGTGGTGGCACACGCCTGTAATCCCAGTTACTCGGGAGGCTGAGGCAGGAGAATCACTTGAACCCGGGAGGCGGAGATTGCGGTGAGCCAAGATTACACCACTACCCTCCAGCCTGGGTGAAACTCCATCTCAAAAATAAAACTAACAAATAACAAATAAATAAATAAATAAATAGATAATAAAGATTCTATGGCCAATTAAGTTTGGGAAATGCCCTTAATACTAAGACAGGGTGTGCCACTTGTAGAAAATCTCAGCGCCTTTCATATGAGAAAAAGGGAGAAGAGGATATCCATGGTTTCCCAAACTTATTTGACCATGGAACCCTTGGACTGCAGATCCATCAGGACCAATGTTCCACGGAATATACTTTGAGAAAGCTTATTCTGGATTCTTGAATGCAACACCCTAGTGGATATTTGACCCATTCCTGCTGCCACAGCTCTCACAAGTGAATGTCTAGGTGGAGGTGCAGCTCCAGTGCCCAGGCACTCACTCTCCCCGTGGACAACCAGTTCCATCTGAGGCAGCCCTACTAAGAAGCTTCTCTTCTCCTGTTCTTTGCAGTGGAGTCCAGGCCTGGGTCCAGGGATTGTCCTCCCAGGTGTGCAGAGTCTAAGTGAAGCCGGTGGCTAATCTGGTTCAGGCCTCTGCCACCAGATACATCCCTTAGTCCAGCCAGCTGTGTCAGAAGGACTCCTGAAGGCTTGGGAGCTGAGAGAGGGACAGTTCCCAAGCATAGCTGGGCAGAGTCATGAAGACAGTCATGCAGCACTGTGTCTATGAGCTCAGCTTCTGAAGCCCAGGAAAGAGGGAGACCCTCTGCCCACTCGCCCCACTAAATCAGGGGTCGTCACTGCAGGCCCATGGAGATACCGATCGGGGGTCCCACCCAGCAGCCCAGGCCCAGAGCACTGGTGATGGAGTAAGACCACGCATGGTTCCAATTCCAGGCACTTCCTCACTGTGTGACCATGGCCAAGGCAGGCAACCTCTCTGAACCTTGGTTTCCTCTTCTATGCAGTGGTGCTGACTTCCTGAGTACTAAGGGAGGTTGCCCGGCAAAACTGCCGCCTGGCACAGCGCCCGGCAAACAGTGCTCACCCAACTGTGAGGCCCCATCTGGCTCTTTGGCTCTTGGTAATGTCCTTTCCTTTCCCCTCTACCCAATCCAGGATATAGTCACCTGGGCTATTTGTCCCTCCAAACTTCCCGAGGTTCTTTCCCTGCACCCCTGTGGAAAATGTGGATACTCAACGGAACTTCCTGGATCCACAAGTCAGACTTAAAAGAGAGAGGAATGTCCCTCCCCTTTCATTCATCCAGGAGAGAGTCTGAGGCCAGCCCACTCTCTCTCAAGGATTTGTTCACTAGCCCCATCCCCATGAAGAAACCATCTCTGACCTCAGTCCCCACAAGCCAGCTCCCTTTCTTCCCTGCCCAGCTCTCCACTTTCTGGGACAGAAAGGCTACACTGGATTTTCCCACCAAGTCCCCAGGCAGCCCCCAAGCCCTCGTGCATCCCGCGGTGTCAGTATACACAATACCAGGCTCTGTCTGCAGGTGGTGTGTCCAGCACCCTTCTAAGTTTTTTCCCAACTCCTTTCATGCCCATGAGAGCATCCAGAACCTTCATTTTCAATTGTTGAGCCAACAGTGCATGAAGGACTTAAGCCCCAGGCTCTGGAGCCAGCCTGCCATGCTTCAAGTCCAAGTCACTTATTGGCTGTGTGACCATGGGCAAGTGGCTTAACCTTTCTGAGCCTCACCTGCAAAATGAGAGTGAGGACAGTATTTACCTCATAGGGTTGGGATGAGGACAAAATCAGGTAATGCATGTAGAAGGTTTATCTCAGTGCCTGGAGCAGGGAAAGTATTTGTAAATGCTAGCTTCGCTAATTATGGACTTCCTGACTCAGTGTGGGCTCATAAAAAGTCCTCCGTGGAAGACATTTTCTTCCCTTCTCTCCAGGAGGCAGGGGTGCTACCACAGGAGGTAGGACAATTATTTCCCACCTGCCTTCAGTCACTCATCTTGGACCAATGGATGGAGACTGTTTACAAAGCCCCTCCATCGACCCGCACCACCCGCACCTCCCGCACCTCCCAACTCTTCCAAACTGCAGTCTGGCCACTTTGGGTGAGCTGTGTCTTCCACTGGTTGTGAAGTTTGCCTGGTCCTTGTTTTTCTGCCCCAAAAGGAACTGTGTCTCTGCAAACCCAGAAAGGCTGTAAGCAGCAATTACTCCCATCCTCAGGGGCCAGATTATTCCAGGTCAAATCAAGACCAGGGATTGCTGGACAGGGCAATCACAGTTCTGGAAAGATCCAAACCTGTAAGCAGAGGTGATTGGCAGAGGCTCACCCAGCCACAAGCCTCAGAAATGAGACGGGTTCTGATGGCCTTTCTCCCTGTCCTGCAGCCAGGACCCCCAACCAGCGTCAATGAAAGCAGAAGCCACAGTTATTCCCAGCCGTTGTGCTAGGGGGCTCCCGTCACGGCAAGTCCTCAGCCCAGTCCAGCCCTGGCAAACAAGTCCACCCCAGAGCACGACCCAGCCCAAGCTCCTGGCTCGTCAGCACAAGAAGTCCCAGAAGAGGAGCAGCCTTCTCAAGGAGCTGGGGGTGAGCATCCACTTCCCAGGGTCCCAGCAGTGGGAGGAAGAGGAGAGGGGGATATGAGGAGGATGCTGGGGGACGCCAAGAGGAGACATGGAAAAGAGAAAGGCTCCAGCTTTCCTGCTGCACATTCATCTGAGCTGGAAAAGGCCTTGAGGATTGGAGAGAATCTGCCCACACCTATACTGCCTTGTGAGGTTCGGACAGGGCCCCGTCCTGGGGAGAATGGCAGGAGAAGGCTGCCAGCTCCAGGATACACAGCTCCCACCCATGGGGCCCTTGGCAGCTTCAGCTCTTTCTGCAGGAAATCCTGGGGAGTGGTCCTTCTTAGACAGCCTGGGCTCTGGGATCCCTAAGAGGACAGAAGGGACTCAGCACAGCCAGTAGGTCCAGGGCACCAGTGGCCTCAATTAGAGCCAGCCACCAATGCCCTCACCCCAGCCATTCTTTCTTCCCTACCCAGGCCTTCCACATCACCATCGCTCTGCTGCACCTGGTCTTTGGGGGCTACCTGGCCTCTACAGTCAAGAGCCTTCACCTGGTGGTGCTGAAGTCTTGGTATCCATTCTGGGGGGCTGCCTCTGTGAGTAGAAGGCAAAACACAGACCGGGTATGGGAGTCTGCAAGGCAGGCCTGCAGGAGGCCCTGGCATTGGGGACAGGATGCAAGATGGGACAGAGACAGCTAACAGGAGTGCGGCAGAAGCCAGGCCCTTTCTCCAGTGTTCCTACCTCTGCTTCTCTTATCTCAGTCACCATGGAAATAGCTCCTTCCAGGAAGCCCCTGCCAATTCTGAGTCCCAAGAGAGCATTCGGAGGCTATCCACTCTCCCATAATTGAATACGTGCATTTGGCAAAGAGGAGGGTGAGCAGGACCCAGGGACAGCTTCATTCTTCCCCGGCCTTCTGAGCAGCCAGGCTGCCCCTGGATCCAGCTACAGGTGCCCTGTTGGGGTTGGGCTACAAAAACACACAGGGTGTAAGGTGTGGCTCCCGTCCTCCCAAGGCCATCAGCCAGAATGGGAGATGACACTGGACCAGTGCATGTACCATTTCCCGGAAGCTCTACATTCCTTCAGGTCTCCAGAGAGCCCACCCCATTCCTGACTCCCAGGTGGAGTCCTGCCTATGTGCTAAGTCCAAGCTCCACGGCACTGTCTTGGGCAAGTATCCCAATCCACCTTTCACATCAGTCCCCTGTGCCCACTGCCCACAGGATGGGGCTTTCACTGCACAGGGCTAGAACTTTCTACACATGCAGTGTTTATTCACCCTGTGCTCCCAGGGACTAGCCCATAGTAGGGGCTCAGTGAACATTGGAAAGAAAGATTGCAGAGGTGCTCCCAGAGACCTTGGAATCAATAACTCATATCCTCCAAACTGCAAGATTCAGGGAAAGAGAAAGGGTCGGGGTAGAGGGGATAGTGCCACTGATCCCAGAGGGATGGTTTGGGTTTGTAAAATGAGGGAAGCAGGAGGGGCTAAGAGGGAGTTCTAAGTGCAGGGCACAGCTTGGTCCAAGGTGTAGAGACAGGAACAGGTACGGTGGTTTATGCACATGGGAAGACGTGAGGTGGGGCAGCGCCTGGGATGGGCCACATGGCAGGCAAGAAGAGCTCACTTTGCCGGAGGAATAGTATTCTCCGCCCCACTGGCCGCCAAGGGTTGATTTTCTTGGAGAATAGGGGTAGGGTGGGAATGTGTGGGTTTTGAGGAACCCCGGCTTCTCTCCTTTGACTTTCAAATCTGTCCTGCAGTTTCTCATTTCAGGGATCTTGGCGATAACAATGAAGAACTTTTCTAAAACTTACCTGGTGAGTGGGTGCACTGAGACCATTCTCTTCCATCCGAGCATGGGGGAACTTTGTTAAGGGCATCTGTGTGTAGGGGTGATTGTGAGGGTACTTCTCCAGGACTTGCTAAGAGCAGGCTCTTGCCTTCAGGACAACAGAGGATGTCCAAGCAGAAGGGTCCAGATGCAGACAGGCCGACAGATTTGGCTGTGGGAGGAAAGGAAGCACGATCTGAAGCTTCTCTCTTTCCAGTGCAGTGAGGCAGAGAAGGAAATGGCCTGACCCGTCCGTCTAGGACATAACTTTGCTTCCTCTCAAATCTCCTGAGTTTTAACATTAATCACCACATAGCCTGCAAGCCCTAGCCTCCAGCTGGATTTACATCTACTTCTCCTCTCTAAGAGCCAGGCAGATGGAACTGTGGTTCTCCCTGTTCTGCCTGTGCTGGCCACTGCCCAAACACCTTGCCCTCTCCCCTGCACACATGGCTCCCGTGTTTGACTTACTCCGGACCACTCAAGACAACCTGTATGTCTTGTCCTGCCGGAGGTCTTCTCTGACCTCCATGGCTGACTTCTGTGCTCGCACACTCTGTGGACTTACCTGTCTCTGCCATACACTAAGTTCTGTGTGGGCAGAATGTGTCTGAGCATCTTGGTAGCCCAAGGTGGCCCAAGTAGGCACAGAGTAGACACCTAGCACAAGACTGGATGGGTGGAGGTGGATGGATGATGGAAGGAACATCCCTGCAAATCACAGCCCACACCCAGGTCTTCCCACCGCCCCTCCTTCTGCCCCCGAAGCCCGAGCCAGGTCTTTCCCTATTTGTGTCCCTCAGCCTGGCTAGGCTGTGGTTGCTCCCTGCTTTCTCAGAGGGCACAGAGAATAGGACGATGGTTGTTCAGTTTACCCAGCAGAGGCAGGAGACGCTTGACAAAGACGTGCCCATTCCCCAGACCTCACCCTCCTGGGCTGAGCCCCTTTTAGAACCACAGGCCTCCTGCTTTGTATACCTGCACATAAGGACACTCCTACTGTAAAGAAACCCATTCCAGTATGAAAGGCTACAGATTCCATACGTGCATAGTCTTTCCTCACTAGGATGCTTAACTGGAGAGGACGATGAATACAGGCATTTCAGGGACCATGGCGGGTGGGCAGAGAAAAGGGGCTGGCACTGGGATATGTGAGGATAGGGCACTTTCAGAGCTCCTCCTGCCCTTTCTGGTGGGGAAGGGGCTGGATGAGGGGTCACTTGTTTGTCGAATCCCTGACACTTGGCATAGCTGATGTAGGAGGGTCGGGGCTGGCTTTGAGCGGGAGAAGGCAATGGGGCATCCTTTATTGCAAAGCTCTTGGATCTGAAGGCAGCTCTCAGGTTCTCCCAATTTGTCCCACAGAAGACGAGGGCCAGCTGGGCCCTCCTCAGTGGTCAGTGGCTCAGCTCCTGTGTGAGGGGCTGAGGGGCCAGTGACAGGCAGAGTCTCCCCTGAGGCTACAGAGGAAGCTACTGGCAAGCATCAGGGGAGGACCTAGCCCCAGGTCTCCACCCTTTGGACAGCTGTTACCTTTATTTTTCACCTATAGAAGATGTTGTGCCTCATGGCAAACCTCGTCAGCCTCTTTTGTGTACTGTCTGGCCTCTTCGTCATCACCAAGGATCTCTTTCTGGAGAGCCCATTTGAGTCCCCGATCTGGAGAATGTACCCCAACTCCACAGTGAGTACCCAGGCCTAGAGCGTCCTCTGACTTCAGTGAAGGTGCTGCCTTGGGTTTGGCCAACAGGAGGTTTCTAGCTCACAGAAAGCCTCTCCTGGAGCCCAGGTGTGGGCCGCGGAGCCCTTGGCCAACCTATTCTGTCCCTCCCAAGGTGTGGTGGAAAGGGGGGTGCTGGGCTGCCCACCGATCAGCATCACTGAATCCAAGTCCACTTTTATAGATGGGGAAATGGGGCCAGAGACGGGGAGGAGCCTGCCTGAGGTCAAGCAGCAACTTGGCCGCAAATCCAGGCCCACAGCCTGAAACTGCTGATTTCCCAGCCAGGGCTCCAAGCATGGTGTCCCTGGTGGCCCCTGTGATCCGGGAGCCTCCCAGCAGCCTTGCAAAGCTGGCCAAGTCCACTTTGTTACCCTCAACTTCTGGGAGTGAACACTGAGGTCCAGAGAGGCTAGATTAGTGGGTCTTAGACTCCAAGCCTGGTGCTCTTTTCACCATGCCACTGCCACCTCTGAAGCAGAAGGCAGACTGCTGGGTGCCTCTGGGTCAGGCTCCAAGAATTCTTTATTTATTTATTTATTTATTTGTTTAGGGACAGAGTCTCACTCTTGTCATTCAGGCTGGAGAGCAGTGGTGCGATCTCGGCTCACTATAACCTCCACCTCCCAGATTCAAGTGATTCTTCTGCCTCAACCTCCCGAGTAGCTGGGATTACAGGCATCCACCACCACACCCAGCTAATTTTTGTATTTTTAGTAGAGGCGGGGTTTCACTATGTTGGCCAGGCTGGTGTTGAACTCCTGACCTCAAGTGATCCTCCTGCCTCAGCTTCCCAAAGTGCTGGGATTACAGGCGTGAGCCACTGCACCCACAAGTGTTCTGACCATAGTGGTTTGCCATTCCTTATCTCCTCCCAGCACATACACACACGTGTATACACATGCACATCACATGCAAGTGTGAGCATGCACAGACACACATGTGCATGCACACACACACATATACATATGCTTCCCCATCAAATGCATGTGATACTAGGAGATGTCTCTCACCTGCACAGCTCTTCCCCTCCCCTGCTGTAAAATATGCTCCCTCACTCTGGGACTAGGTATCCCCACCTGTCAAGTAGGCTTAGATCAGACGACCCTAAGGCTACTTTCAGTCTTACCAGGGACCCATGAGATTCTCTAGCCCTCAAACATTAGGCCAATGCTCACCAAAGACCTATAAGTGCCAGGCATTGAGTGTAGGGCAGTGACCAAGACAGACCCACTCCCCATCCCACAGAGACCCACCCTGCCCTCCCCACGCACACCTGGGAGCTGAAGCCCCAACTGCCTTCTGCTGTGGATCTGACCCCTGCCGGGCTAAGCCCACGTAATGGGTGCAGACACCCAGAAAGGTCTCGCCCTGCCTTCCCTCCCTCTCCCCTCTCAGGTCCACATCCAGAGGCTGGAGCTGGCCTTGCTCTGCTTCACGGTCCTGGAGCTCTTCCTGCCAGTGCCCGTAGCTGTCACAGCCTGGAGAGGGGACCGTCCATCTGCAAAGGTAAGACAAGGGTTTGTCTTCCCAGGAAGACAAAAAAAAATGGGGACATGAGGCAGCAGAGGGCTCAGAAAGGAAAGAAATGTGGGGGTTACAAGAGGAGCGTGTTTCATTCATTCCTCACTTTGCTGGGCATTCATTAAGTGACAGCCCACAGTCCAGTAGGGGAGCCAAGGCATGGGGGCAAGAGAGGAGGCCAATCCAAGGAGAAGAAGGTGAGGCTGCCTGAGAGGAAACTCCATGGGTGCCCAGAACAACAGGATACTGTGCTACCAGCTCTGAAGGCCCTGGGGAAATTGCATCACAGAGGCCTGTGGTGACTGGGCAGGGTTCAGACCCCCAGGCATAAATGGAAAAGGGACTTTCAGCAGAGCAACGACAGCACGAGCACTGGCTTGGGGACAGGACAGAGAAGGCCTAGGGAAGCTACAGTGTGTGTGGAGTTTGGCTGTGGTGGAAACAAGTGAGAGACAGAGTCATCAAAGATTGGGCATTTAAGGAATTCCAGGGACTCTGTTAAGCACTATATTGATGGATCAATCAATGCATCCATCAATGGATGGATGGATGATGGATGGATGGATATAGACGTGCAGATATACAGATAAATATAGCTGTATTTAACTTTATCTTCTCAACAACCCTTTTTATTTTGAGACTGAGTCTCACTCTGTCGCCCAGGCTGGAGTACAGTGGCAAGATCTCAGTCCATTGCAACCTCCACCTCCCAGGTTCAAGCAATTCTCCCACCGCAGCCTCCCAAGTAGCTGGGACTACAGGCACGTGCCACCACATCTGGCTAATTTTTGTATTTTTTTTAAGTATAGATGAGGTTTTGCCATGTTGGCCAGGCTGGTCTCAAACTCCTGACCTCAAGTGATCCGCCAGCCTTGGCCTCCCAAAGTTCTGGGATTACGGGCATGAGCCATTGTGCCCAGCCCTCAACAACCCTTCGAGGTACTTAAATTCCCATACTACAGACTAGCAAGCTGAGGTTCAGAGAGGTCACATCACTTCCCAAGGCGAAGCAGCCAATCAGGAAATCCAGGACTCAGCCTGAGCTATGTCTAACCCACAGTCTCGCCCTCGTCTACCCACGGGGAAGGCAGAATGGCCGACTGGGGCTAGATATATTTTAAAATAGAAGGCAAGTCTCTCCTCACCCCAAAGATCCTCAGCAGTTCAGGGTAAGGATATTTTATAAAAGAAATCAATAAATAAAAAATAAAGACCCTGACCAGAAGTGATCTCCAAGGTTCATTTCTTTAAAGAAAAAAAAAATCATATTACAATCTCAACTTTAGAACACTATTTTTAAAAGTGCCAAATCCCCCATAATTCTGCAAGTTGGACGCTGATTTTCGTGTTAGTGACCTCATCACACACCGAGTGTTCACGTAACGCATATATAAGTTGATGGCCTCTGAGTTTCATTTAACATCAAGCAGAGAAGTTGTCTTTGTGAATTCCTGGCTGCCTGACAGGAAGTCTTCTCATTAAGACATCAGAAAGCCAGATGGTGGCCTTCAGTCACTGAGGCCAACCCCACTTTTAAGGATAGGGAAAACTGAGGCCCCACACCTAGCTGTAGCTATGAGCCGTAATTGTTCCTATTTATTCACCTTTGCTGTGTTCCAGGCACCATGCTAGTGCTGCAGGTGGCTGTATTCATTTTCTATTGATGTTGTAGTAAATTGTCACAAATTTGGTGGCTTAAAATGGCACCTATATTATCCTACAGTTCTGGAGGTCAGCAGTTTGAAATGAGTCTCAAGGGCTCAAATCAAGGTGTGTCGCCAGGACTGCATCCCTTCCGGGGCATCGAAAAGAATCTCTTTCCTTGACTTTTCCAGCTTCTAGAGGCTGCCTGCATTCCTTGGCTTGGGCCCCTTCTTCCACCTTCAAAGCCAGCATCCCAACATCCTCCAATAACCCTGTCTCCCTCTTCTACCTTTAAAGACCCTTGTCATCATACTGGGCCCAGACAGATAATCCAGGAGAATCTCCCCATCTCAAGGCCGATTGGAAACCTTAATTCCATCTGCAACCTTAATTCCTCTCTGCCATGTGACCAGAGGTTAGGACACGGACATCTTTTGCGGGCTGTGCTGCTGGCTGAGACCTCCTTGACTCTCACAGCCATTCTGGGAGGCAGGTTCTGCTTTTCCATTTTAAAGAGGAAAACGTGAAGCTTAAAGAGTTCAGTGACTTCCCATGGTCTCAAGCCAGTAAGCAGCCATGCTAGTCTCCCAGTGGTCCCTGCGCCCTCCCCATCAGTAAGGACGGTGCGAGGGACAGGCTCTCCAACACTGAATTGGTGCCACCCTCATCACGAATCGGGGATGGAGGCGTGGCAGCAATCACTGGTGGATACTGTTGGCATCAGACCTGCCCCTAGAGTGTATCCTGGCTAGAAGGGACTTGGGTCATTACCTGGCCCCGCCCCCCTCAGGAAGCCCAACAGGGTGAGGGACTTGTCCCTGGTCACCAGGACACTGGTAGCGGGACAGGAACCAGGGCCCCATCCACTGACTCCCATGTGGGCCTCCCCTTCTCCCTTTTCAAGAACAAGGAGGGTGGAGGGAGTCACACGCTGGTCTATGGAAGTCGCTTCCTCTCTCAAGCCTCAGTTTCCCAATGTTCATGGAGAACTTGAGTCTTCAGAAGTGAACTAGCAGAGAAGTGTTTCGGAAGCAGCCAGTCGCTCCACAGCTGTGAGCAGCAGGGACGGTGACTTTTCTTTTGCAGAATGACGACGCATGCCTTGTTCCGAACCCACCATTGCGTCTCACAGGCCTGCCGGTGGAGCCCCCGCCATCCTACCAGAGTGTGATTCAACAGGACACACAACACAAGCAGCCTCAGAGGTGAAGAGGTTTGGCCCCGGCTCCCCAGACCTTCAGAACCCACACGTGGCCCCTTCTCCCTGGCATGGAGAGAAACCAGTTCCCAAGGGAGCTGTGATGGGCAAGGGGCTAACAGTGCTGCAGCTAGAACTGCCTGGCCTGGGAGTGGTAGCCGAGGCAGCAATGGTCCTATATACTCAGGCACTGGAGGAACTCCCAGGGGCCCCCAGGAACATCTCAGCACCTGACTTGGTTGACCAGAGCTACCTCAGCTGAACCTGGGCACAACCAGGACCCATCACCCTCCCTGCCAGCCTCCAGAGCAAACTCCTGGGCCTGCAGCCCTGAGGTGCCCCCCATGCCCTCTGACCTCCCTTGTCTGCCTTCTCTGATCAATGGTGGATGCACAGGAGGATATAAGGGGAGCCAGGAAGGAAGGTCTCCAGAGCAGTACAGGCAGGGGCTTCTCTTGCCTCAACCTACTAAGAGGCCTCTGGGGGAGCCTGTGTATCTGAATCCCTGGATTTAGGATGAGGGCAGCTGAGAGTTGAGTCCCATAGAAACTGTATACAGTTCTTCCCTCTGAACAAGACCCTCTGCATGAATCTTTTTGCCTCCCTGGGCCTCAGTGTCTCCATCTGTAAAGTGGGGGTGGGAGGATGACATGATCCAGGAGTCTCCCGGCTTGAAAGCTCTGAGGTCAGGAGAATTCAAGATCCCAGTTGTGACATCGAGGTTGCCAGTAAAACTTCAGCCTCGGGATTTCAAACCTCCTTGTGCTAAGTAAATAATGTGAGAGGGAGGGACCTGCCTTCCTCATTTTCCAGATTTCGGTCATCTGAGGATAGTCTTCAGGATTTTTGCTTATTTGTGAGCAGCAATGTATTCTGGGTTTTTTCCACACTGGTTCTTTTTTCTATATTATTTTAAAGCGGCACTTTGTAGCAGCAAGATATGGGAAATCAGTATCTTTCCATAAATAGAAGCGAACCCCAAAAATAATAAACACGTGAAGTAAAACGTAATTTTCCCCTCCAACCCCATGGTCTCACCCACTGCTTCCCTTCCTCTTGCTAGCTCTGCCCCAGCCACCATGGCTTCCTTGAGGTTCCACAGGCACCCCAGGGACACCCCTGCCTCTGAGCCATCACCTCGCCCTTCCTCCACCCGGACTCTCTCTCCCCACGTATCTGCAGAGCTCACTCTTTGAATCTTTACTGGGCCACCGACTCTGAGCCAAGTAAATGGTATTTAATCTCAATGTCATTTAATCCTCCCATCAATCTGTGACCTAGCTGCTGTTACTATTAACATCTTCATTTCGGCCGGGCGCGGTGGCTCAAGCCTGTAATCCCAGCACTTTGGGAGGCCGAGACGGGCGGATCACAAGGTCAGGAGATCGAGACCATCCTGGCTGACACGGTGAAACCCCGTCTCTACTAAAAAATACAAAAAAAAAGCCGGGCGAGGTGGCGGGCGCCTATAGTCCCAGCTACTCGGGAGGCTGAGGCAGGAGAATGGCGGGAACCCGGGAGGCGGAGCTTGCAGTGAGCCGAGATCTGGTCACTGCGCCCCAGCCTGGGCGACAGAGCAAGACTCCGTCTCAAAAAAAAAAAAAAAAAAAAAAAAAAAAAACAACATCTTCATTTCATGCAGGATCAGAGAAGTTCAGCAAGTCTCCCCGGACATATGGGTAGTCACCGACGGAGCTGGGATCTGGACCCAGACTGCAAACTGAAGACCACTGCCTGACAATGCCCCAACTTGGTTGGAGCATAACCTCTGCTCTCCTGAAGTTGTGCACTTTCACTGGGAAGATGAGATTTGTACATACAAAAGACTAGTGCGATGGTCTACACAGCAAAGTCAGCCCTCATAGCTCCTGGGAACCCTGTCCTCTCAGATAAGCCATTTCTTACCCAGTTGACAGCTCGATACATGTGGTAGCCCAGATTGTTTGGTTTTGTTTTGTTTTGTTGAGATGGAGTCTTGCTCTGTTATCCGGGCTGGAGTGCAGTGGCACGATCTCAGCTCACTGTACCCTCCGCCTCCCTGGTTCAAGTGATTCTCCTGTCTCAGCCTCCCAAGTAGCTGGGACTACAGGCACACCCCACCACGCCCAGCTAATTTTTATATTTTTAGTAGAGACAGGGTTGCACCATATTGGTCAGGCTGGTCCCAAACTCCTGACCTCAGGTGATCCACCTGCCTCGGCCTCTCAAAGTGCTGGGATTACAGGCGTGAGCCACCACGCCCAGCCTGGGACAGCTGTATCTTTAACACCTAATACTTGTTCTTCCTTCCTTTTACCAAGACAGCAAGCCCAGCGTGCAGCAGGCAATCATATAGAGCCAGAATTCCACAACACTGTTTTGTTCCCATTGGGTTTACTTTTATGTGTATCTTCCATTTATGGCAAGTGATACTGAATTTCTGTTTATGGTAGTGGTATCAAGTGCTCTAATATACATATGTAAGCTAAAACGGTGATAGTAGATATGGGGTTTTCTGAAGGAGTGACGAAAATGTTCTAATATTAATTGTAATGATGCTTGCATAAGTCTACCTATACTAAAAATCATTGATTTAAAAAAGAGGCCTTTTAAGGAAATATATTAAACAAATAATGACATAAAACACGAATGTTTTAGAGTCATGAACTTAGGCCAGGCGTGGTGGCTCACACCTGTAATCCCAGCACTTTGGGAGGCAGAGGTGCATGGATCACCTGAGGTCAGGAGTTCGAGACCAGCCTGGCCAACATGGTGAAACCCCGTCTCTACTAAAAATACAAAATAATTAGCCGGGCGTGGTGGCACATGCCTGTAATCCCAGCTACTCGGGAGGCCAAGGCAGGAGAATCACTTGAACCCAGGAGACAGAGCTTGCAATGAGCCAAGATCTCGCCATTGTACTCCAGCCTGGGCAATAAGAGTGAAACTCTGTCTCTATAAAAATAAATAAATAAATAAAAATTTAAAAATTAAAAGATAAAGTCATAAAGTTAGATCTTGAAGGACTGAAGTCTAGAAAACAAAGAAAGTCGATCTCTTCACTGCACTCTACAGACGGGAAGTGGAAGGGTTTGCATTCTGCAGTTGAGATTAAAAGTTTACCGTGGCCCTTGAACCTAGAATTCTACTTCCTAATCTCGTTGAACTCTGGTGTTGGAAGAATCTTTGAGGATCATCTCACCTAACCCATCATGGAACAGATGGAGAAACTTGGCCCAGAAGGAGCTTACTGAAGTCACCGGCAGACCTTTCATGGACATGAGGCTAGAACCCAGTCTTGAGCTATCGCTGCACTGCCCATGACATCCTTCCCCAGCCTGCCCCACCTGCTTTCCTAGGAGCCTCAGAGCAGGAACAAGGGCAACTCCTATCTCATCTAGCACCCTGAGTTCCTGGCTCCCAAATTTATCATCTCCCCTAGCCTATGAGATCATTCTGCAAACTCTAATCCCAACCCCACCCCAGGAGCCTTAAAGAAACCCCAAAGTCACACCCTCTTCCTTCTCCATCTCCATGACCTTAAGGCAGGTCATGGAGGCAGGATGGCATTGCACTCATTTATTCCTTCATTCATTCCACAGGTAAAGACTGAGTCCCTACAATGCTACGTCCAGGGGCAAACCACCATGAGCAAACCCCAGCCTCTCAGAGCTCAGACTGTGGTGGCGGAGGAAGGCACTAATCCAACGATCGCATCTGAGAACGTATAACTACCATAAAGGGAAATTGAGGGGTGTTATGAGAGAATGTGATGGGGACCTAATCTGGAATACAGGGCATGGCCAAAAGGAGAAGCTGTGTGAGAGGAGGCCTGCGGGTGTCTGAGCTGCCCTGACATTTCTTCTGCACAGAGACTTAGCTCTTCCCAGGCCAAAACCCTCAGCCTGCCCCTCACCACCCGATGGCTGTGATCACTTCCTCCCCACCTCCTCACTTCCTTCCACACGGTCTGATTGCCTTGCATCCGTTTGGGAGCAGATTGCCCCCACCGTGGGTCAGGCCCCTGCCAGGTGCTGGACGCTCTTATCAGTTAGTGTTGCCCCAGAGAAACAGCATCAGGGGGACATATAGACTAAGACTCATTGCAAGGAATTGGCTTCTACGATTGTGGGGGCTGCAGGAGCAAGTGTACGATTGGCAGAGCAGGTGCTCGGGAAGGCAGAGAAGGAGGGACATCAGGAGAGGTGAAGACGTGTCCAGGCTGCTGGACAGAGAGCCCCCTGACCAGGTGAAGGCCGAGAGCTTCAGGCCTTAGGATCCCAGGGTCCTCCCAGCTCCCTGTTCCTGAGTTCACTTGGAATTTGAGGCACGTTTTTGGTTTTTTGGTTTTGTGTTACTTTTTATTTTCCTTTTAATGTCTCTCACTTTTGCTTAGGGGAGGCAGCATGAGGCAGCGGGATGAACACTGGACAAGAGTCAGAAGCCATAGGTTCCAATACAATACAGGCCCAACTATTTTTAGCCTCTCTGACCTGAGCCAACTGCAAACTCTAATTTTGGTTGCTCCCGGGCCTCGTCACGCAGGAGGCTTAGTAATTAAGCACAGGACCATGTGTGAAGACTCTAGGTAAGTGGTAACAAGCCATACAGACAGGTGTAGGCTGTGGAGTTGGTGGTGTTATTAACTAGCCTGGCAGACTGGAAGGGAATGGCCTGGGAGACAAGGGGGAGATGCATCATAAAGCAGGAAAACCCAGGTTTTCTAGTCAGCTGTCTTGGATTCAGATCCCAGCTCCACTATTTATTAACTGTGTGATCCAAGCAAGATACTTAACCTCTCTGATCCTCAGTTTGCATAAGAATGAAATGGAGACTGGGCATACCAAATTATAAATGCATGCTGGTAAGCATGAGGTTGTAGTGGTTGTCACCAGGTCCAAACTTCTTCCCTTACCTCTGTCTCATTAACTCCCTTTTACTTCCATTCCCCACAGCCTTCCAGCCCCAGGTAAGAACTTCAGCGTGTTTTAATGCATGTTGTGTTACAGGATGTTAGTGTGCACATATTTAACTTGTGTATATGGTATTGTTTTGTCTCGTTTGGGTTCTGTTTTTCCCCCTCTCAGCCCTGTGTCGAAGATCCATCGTGTTGCTCTCTGTGGACATCCTGACCTTTGCTTTTAGCTGCTAAGAATTACACACAATCCATGTTTTACCAGTCACTCCTCCTGGTGACGTAGCTTCACTTTTCAGATGGGAAAACTGAGACCCAGGAAATGGGGATCTGCCTGCGAATGTTCCTCCTCATCCTGGGACCCCGGTTGTGTGTGCTGCAGGTGTCTGAAATGTCAAAAGCAAGACTCAGGCTCCAGCTCCCTCCAGGAGACTTGAGGCAGCCCAGCCCACAGTCCACCTGCCTTCTGAAGCCAGCTCTGACAGGGCAGCAGCAATCAGTGAGGGTCCCTCCTTCCGAAACCCCAGGGGTGCCACGGCAGAGCCCAGAGGAGACACCCTGGCAGGCTGAGACCCTGAGCAATGCCCACCCAGCAGAGAGGAGCTCTTTTTCCGGGGACAGCCAACCATCTTGGGAGTAAGTGGACCACCCAGTCTCCACAGACCCGCGCCTTTCCCAGGGCAGAGCCCAAACAGCCACTCCCAATCCCAACAGTGATGCGGTCAGTAGAATTTACGGGGCCAAGGGTACATACCAGGGGAGGGATCGTGGAGCAGCAGGGAGGCCAGACAAATCTGCTGGGATTTTGCTCCCTGGCCCCCAACTCCGAAAATTAGCAGCAAAGGGCTGGAGCTGCCACTGCCCGGGAAAGTACGGCTTGAATCCAGGATACGGAAGCAAACCTACGTCCCCCTTGCCAGTCCCCAGGAGCTGGGTTCCATCCCTCTAAGGCCACTCGGGTGAACGGGGAGCTTTCCTTTTCTGATGCCCCACCCCTGCACCAAGGCTCTTCTCACCGTAGTTGAGCGGGTCTTGGTCAATGGTGAGACCAGCACGTGCGGGCAGAAGTCTGTGCCTGTCTCCCGCTGATGCCAATGTGGACAGCTGAGCAGAGAGCATGGGCCAAGCCAGGCACTGGAATCCTAGATCCTCTGCATGTGTGGCTCTGGGCCCCAGTTTCCAAAATGAGGTCTCATTTACCTTGCCATTGAGCACAAAGCAATGGGAGGAGCAGAGCCTGCTGGAAGACGCTATTCCCCTCGGGTGACAGTAAGAGAGGTGGAGCGTTGAGGGCGAGGTCAAAGTGCTGCTCTCAGGATCACAGAAGCCTTTTTGAGGCCGGGCGCGGTGGCTCAAGCCTGTAATCCCAGCACTTTGGGAGGCCGAGATGGGCGGATCACGAGGTCAGGAGATTGAGACCATGCTGGCTAACACAGTGAAACCCCGTCTCTACTAAAAAATACAAAAAATTAGCCGGGCGAGGTGGCGGGCGCCTGTGGTCCCAGCTACTCGGGAGGCTGAGGCGTGAGAATGGCGTGAACCCAGGAGGCGGAGCTTGCAGTGAGCTGAGATCCGGCCACTGCACTCCAGCCTGGGCGACAGAGCAAGACTCCGTCTCAAAAAAAAAAAAAAAAAAGAAGCCTTTTTGAAACAAATGACCGCAAACTTCTGGGCTTCAGCCTAGGCTGAGTCAACCCTGTGCCCTGGAGGGAGAGGCTTGCATGTGCAGTATGGAGGCGTAGGGAACGTGGGCAGAGGCAGCCTCCGATCCCACTCTGAGACCCCAGCTTCCTCCCTGGAATGCCACGAGCAGGGCGCCGCTCCAGGCGTGGGTGTGGTGAGAGCTAAATGACTCAGTGCACACACTCGGGTGCACAGAGCAAGCTCAGTGCCCTCGGGGCCAGCACCTTGGAGATAACCAATGTGTTGGGCTGGATGCCTGAGATGGCCCTCACCCAAGCTTTCTAGCGTTCTGCAATCCTGCCATGCCCCTGGGGACGAGGAGGCCTGGTTCCGCCCCTCCCTGGCTAGGGAAGTTGGCAAGGTTATCATTCTCTCCAGGCCTCTGTTTTCTTGGCTGCCAAGGAAGG